CTGATTCTGTTTGAATCAGTTAAACACTCCTGTGCTCAACCTAAAACACTTTTAGCATTTACACAGAGAAAATGTAAAAATAAATTCACCAACATCACATGAAACCAATTGTGCAGACTAATGAAAATATTTATTTCTTTTCATGTACTCAATTCAGTCAATATTGAACATTTCAACAAAACATTCATAAAACATTTTCCAGTTTTCATATAGTATTACTGAACGTACCATTGTACTGTAAGCTTACAGTAATACTGCTTAATTGTAGACACACCAATCAGGTTTAAGTACTATAAGTAGGCAACAGCTATGTTCACCTGTATTCAACAAAAATGGACGGTGTCAGAGGAAGAGGGAGAGTGCAGATGAGAGGGGGAATCTGGAGAGAACAAGGTGGAGGGAGAGGGAGAGGGAGAGCGAGAGGGAGACCTGGAGGAGGGGTAGGACATGCACAAAGACGACAACCAAATCTGTGTAACGAAATTCATGCTACAATTGTGGACCATGTAATAAACCATGGAGTAACTCTGAGGTAGGCTGGACTGAGAGTACAGCCTAACGCAGGTACACGGTGGCATCAATAGTTCGGACATTTTCGTCAAGAGCACAGGTGAGAAATTTATCTTCTGTCAACAGAAAATCCATAGCTTACTGCATGTACTATATCAACAGTTTTGGTATCTATTCGTGTATCATTTTACAGTAAGCTACATGTATTTTGTTTGGCCAACATAGGATTGAACGTCGAGAACACCAAGGAGGGAGGGGCCCCATATTCACACAGGAGCAAGCGAGAGAGATCATAAACCTCGTTTTGGCCAATAATAGTCCCGCATGAGTTTATATACATTGAGGCTGGATTTAATCTGATAACAGTGAGAAGAAGAGGAAGAAACATCATTGGCCACAGGGCTATTGTCAATGTACCAGATGCAATACATTGTCGTCTGGGACAATGTAGCTGTCCATCGTTCTGCTCTGGTCCAAAACTGGTTTCATCAACACCCACAATTTACAGTTCAATACCTTCCACCATACTCCCCCTTCCTAAACCCCATCGAGGAGTTCTTCTCAGCATGGCGGTGGAAGGTTTATGATCTCCGGCCCTATGTCCAGATGGCCCTCATTCAAGCTATGGAGGAAGCATGTGATCAAATTGAAGCAGCATCCATACAAGGGTGGATTCGTCACTCCAAAAGATTCTTCCCACGTTGCCTTGCAAATGAAAATATAGCCTGTGATGTTGACGAGGCCCTGTGGCCAGATCCAGCTAGGCGGAGAGATGTTTAGGTTTTTATTTATTTTTTATTCAGTACTGAACTGGATATGTAATTTCTGTAAGCTTACAGTACAATGGTACGTTCAGTAATACTGTATGAAAACTGGAAAATGTTTTGTTATGAATGATTTGTTGAAATGTTCAGTATTGACTGACTTGAGTACATGAAAATAAATCAATGTTTTCATTAGTCTGCACAATTGGTGTCATGTGGTGTTGGTGAAATTTATTTGTACACTTTCTCTGTGTAAATGCTAAAAGTGTTTTAGGTTGAGCACAGGAGTGTTTAACTGATTCAAACAGAATCAGACCATATGATGGTTGTGTTTATGACAACAAAATAAGGTTTTTTTAAGACATTGTATTGTTTTGACAAA